CAGGAAAGCCTCACCCACCCTCCCTAGATGGGATGGAGAGTCCTTGTCTGGGCTCAGGGTGCTCTGGGCTGCGTCTCCTCAGGAAGGCCTCACCCCACCCTCCGTAGATGGGATGGAGCGTCCTCATCTGGGCTGAGTGCTCTGGGCTGCGTCTCCTCAGGAAGGCCTCACCCTACCCTCCGTAGATGGGATGGAGAGTCCTCATCTGGGCTGAGTGCTCTGGGCTGCGTCTCCTCAGGAAAGCCTCACCCACCCTCTGTTGATGGGATGGAGAGCCCTCACCTGGGCTGAGCGCTCTGGGCTGCGTCTCCTCAGGAAGGCCTCACCCACCCTCCGTAGATGGGATGGAGAGCCCTCATCTGGGCTGAGCGCTCTGGGCTGACCCTCCTCAGGAAAGCCTCACCCACCCTCTGTAGATGCGATGGAGAGTCCTCGTCTGGGCTGAGTGCTCTGGGCTGACCCTCCTCAGGAAAGCCTCACCCCACCCTCTGTAGATGGGATGGAGAGTCCTCTTCTGGGCTGAGTACTCTGGGCTGACCCTCCTCAGGAAAGCTCACCCACCCTCTGTAGATGGGATGGAGAGTCCTCGTCTGGGCTGAGTGCTCTGGGCTGACCCTCCTCAGGAAAGCCTCACCCACCCTCTGTAGATGGGATGGAGAGCCCTCGTCTGGGCTGAGAGCTCTGGGCTGACCCTCCTCATAGCATGTGTGTGCCATACTCTTGAGACCTCCCGGGTACTCTTCTCCTCTTCTAGACTGTAAGAAGTATCTAAATCAGATAAAATGTGTAGAGTTCTTATAAGAGCAGAAGCTTTATTAGAGATGGAAATGAATTTTTACAATTTTTTTAGGAGCTTCACATGGCTGAGAAGACTAAACTTATCACTCAGTTGCGTGATGCAAAGAACTTAATTGAACAGCTTGAACAAGATAAGGTAAAACAAAAAAAAAAGCTTATGATTCTAAAATTTGTCAAGGGGCCCCAACATTTCCTTTTGAAAACAGTTAAAAGCATTCAGGCTTCTGCTTCCCAAAAGTATTGCAGCTGCTTCCGTGAAAAAGCTTTTTGTTGTAATTTCTAGATTTATATAACTATTAGCATTCATTTTGTATCATGTGAAGCTGATTCTCTGTGTTTTTTTTTTATCCCAGTTAGATTTATAGATTAGAATGAGTGTTGCAAAGGAAATTCATGTTTATAGTACATAGTTACTTTTCCGAGAAAAGTTAAATTATTTGTAGCCAAGGGATTGCTGAACTGGAGTGGTAGCTGTTCTTTCAGATACAATAGCAACAGTTTAATCTCTCCAATAAGCTGCCTAAAAAGTAAAGAAATGATAATGTGTATATTAGCATAAATAGGAATTTCTGCAGATGAACCTTTAAATCTCTAGATGAGATTGGAGGATTGAGGATGGGATGAGTTTTGCCCTTGGCGGTTTAGAGTTGGAGCAGCAGCTGTGGCAGCAAAGACAACTGAAAAATTCACAAGCAAACGGTTTTGACCGGAGTCTTCCAGCCCCAGATTCTAAGCAGCTCCCAGTTTGTTCCACACCATCCACAATTTCCTGTGATACCCTGCTTTATAGCACAGTGTTCTCAGTGGCCATGTAATTCAGAACATGTCAGAGTTAGCTAGCTATTGAAGTGAGCTGTTGGCAATCTTTTCACTCTTTCTGTAATATATTTTTTTGCTATTATTTGCGAATCTACAAACTTTTTACAAGCCCACTTAAAAAAAAAAAACCCTTTATTATTATAGAAAACTAAGCATTTACAAAAGTAGAAGAAATTAGTAAGATGAATTCCTGTGAACCCATCACCCAGCTTCACTAGTTATCATCTTAAAGCCAATCTTGTTTCATCTGTACACCCCCAACCTCCATTATCCTTCTCAACCCAGGACTGTTTTACAGTAAATCCAAGAAATCTAATCATTTCTTCTCTGAGTATTTTAATGCATCTTTATTCAGGAAACTTGTTAGCTTTGGTTTAGTCCAGTTGTGCTGATTTCCCCTGGGGTGTGTGTTGTCCTTGATGCATCTTTAAAATAAAGGACTTGAAAAAAAAGCATAACCACATTAACATGATCACATCTAAAAACTAACAAGAATTCCTTAATATAACCAAATATCTAGTCAGTTTCAGATTTTCTCTGTTGTCTCATACATTTTTTTTTTCCTTTTTATGAACCAGGATCCAGATAAGATTGTTTCATTGCAGTTGGTTGATATGACTCTTAAAGACTTCTTTTAGTCTATAGGTTTGACTGCCTTTTCGCTCTCCCTCTTTTTTTCCCTGGTGATTTGTTTGTTGAAGAAGCTGTAGGCCCGTGGTTTTGTTTTGAAATTTTAGGTAACAGTGTCCTGCTTTCCTGGTTGGTGTCTGTCTGGTAATATTACCATATGGAAGGGTCAGCAAACGCTGGACATAAGGTGATAAATTTATTCAGGCCCTAAATCCCTAGCTGTCACAAAGCCTGAATACTTTATTTTTTCAGAGACAAATTGAATCATCCCATTTTTTGTGAGTCCCAAATGACTGACTTAATGTGTAATATTTAGTTATCTCTTCCCCCAGGACCTTCATTTTAGTGTAGATTACTCAGAGGGAGGGAAGACAGCAGCAAGTAGCAGATTGGAGGAATGGGGGTGCATCACTGACGTTAGGCAGGAGCGGTGGTGGGACCAGAGATGGTCACAAGAGAAGAGAGAGAAACCAGGCAGATCTGTACTCCTCGCGGCAGTCACCTTACACGTGTGCTCAGCAGCCTCTGAGGCCGTGCCATGTACAGCACCTGTCGGTCGGTGATTGTAACTCAGGATGGCCCTGCGCCAAGTGCAGAAGGTGACATTTTATTCTTCATAAACTGTTCATAGAATTGTAAAATAAATCTTTTTACTAACACATGTCATTAATCTTACTGTTAAGTTTTTTTTAATATCAGAAATACCCTGATGTCATGCCCAGTAACTGAGGTTATTGTAGAGTATAGAGCAGAACGCAGACTTCAGTTCATGAAATATGAAATGCTTCTTAATACTGTACTTAGTAAGAAATATATTTTTCCTGCCTTTTCAAGTAGGTTTGATAGGTGCTGTCAGGGGTGCTGTGAGTCAGAGTCGACTGACTCCGTGCAAAGGCGGTGGGTTGGCTTGTTGTTGTCACTGGAGCGGATTTGTCATGCACATGCTCACAGAGCCTGTCCTTCTGTGCAGGGAATGGTGATAGCAGAGACAAAACGTCAGATGCATGAAACCCTGGAGATGAAAGAAGAAGAAATCGCTCAGCTTCGTGCCCGCATCAAGCAGATGACCACCCAGGGGGAGGAGTTACGGGAGCAGAAGGAGAAGTCTGAGAGAGCTGGTAAGAACTCGGGGGTTATTGTTTGTGTCGGAGCTCAAAAGTCTTTTAAAGCGCTGGATCAACACTAAAGTATTAGTTACGTGTTATAAAAGACATCACTGTCAAGACCCTTTGGAAGACACTGAATGGCCTCTTAGAGGATACGTAGGTGGACAAGCTATGGCCTGTGAACTGGATCTGCCCATGGTCTGTTCATATATGGCCCTCAGGCTAAGAAGGATTTTTACCATTCTCTTCTATTTATTTTAAAAATGATTTTTACAATTTTAAATGGTTGGAAAAAAAAGAAGAATATATGACAGAGACCATATGTGGCTTGCAAAGCCTAAAATATTTACTATCTGGCCCTTTACAGAAAAAGTTTGCTGACCCCTGCCTTAGAATATCATAAATTTAGACTTACAGTTGTGCAACTCTCTAGTTAAGTCCCTGCATGCTAGTTATTTAATAACTGCTGCTTTATAGATGCTCTGGTACAAACAAAAAATGTAAGATATAGTCTGCTTTTAAAGGGAATGCGGGAACAATTCAGTGTTACACGTGATAGCATTCTGTGTATTTGACCCAGTGCTAGGCTGTGAAGTGTAGAAACTAGCAGGGTAAATACTGAGTAATGCCAGGGAAGGAGAAGTGTTAGGAGGAGGAGAGCAAGGTGAACCGTGGTGCCTTCCTGTCCCTGAGGACGAGAGTCTTGAGTCAGGCCTCAGACGGTGAATAGAGTGGGTCTTAGCAGGGAGCAGCACACAGTTCAGAAGCTAGGAGACCATGAACAGGCACAGACACCATAGTGGCTGTGTGAATGAACAGAAAACCATTCTTGCCCATGGGGCAAATGGAATTGGATTGCGAAGGAACTGACTGTTGGGTTCTTATAAGGTGAGTTAGCTGGGTTTAGGATTGGATGTACAAGACAACAGAAAAGCAGTCCTAGGAGGGCACAGTGTATGGAAGCTAGTGTTTTGTGTAGAAAGAAATGAGACGGGAAATCAAGCTTAGAGGCAAAGACAGAAACCTAGGTTTGAGGTGCTTTAACCACTTGGACTAGGATGGTGGATCTGAGAAGGAGAGGAAGGGTAGAATCTGCAGAATTTGATATCTGATCATCTTGGAGGGGCAGAGAAGTAGGTGTCTAAGATGACTCCAAGGTTTTAAACTTAGGTGACTGAGTGAACAGTGTTATTGACAGAAATGATGACGTGGGACTAGGAGATCCTGATGGGGAAGTTGAGGATTGGAATGTGACAACGAGTTTGCTTAGATACTTTACATTTGAGCTGATCCTGAGCTTTCCAGAGGCAGCTGACTGTAGGAATTTGGAAATAAGAAACTAGAGAATCTCTCAGCAGTCATTCATTAGCCTAGAGTTGAAGCCTGTGGTTTAGTTCATAGGAGAAGCTGATTTCTCCAAAAGACTAGTTTTACAATAGCTGCTAGTAATGGTAACTTAGTAGCAGCAGCTTCTACGCTAAATAAGCTGAATACTTGCTGAGCACTTCGGAATCGACTCGATAGTGACAGGTTTACTACTACCACCAGCGTTGTTGTTGTTAGCTGCCCTCAGGTGGATTCCAGCTAGCCAGCACTTCAGTCGCAGTTACTTTATGCCAGGCACTATTATAAGTGCTTTATTTGTGTTTACTTGTTTGTTTACTTATATTCAGTCCTCACAATTTTATGAGGTAGGTACTGTTCGTATCCTTGTTTTACAAGTGAGAAAACCTGAGAACACAGAAGTTAAGTGACTTGCCTACGTTTATGCACAGAGAGTACCGTATTTTTACGCAGATAACACACACCTCTGTGTTTGTTTGCCAGCCGCAGCCTCCCTGGTCAGTAAGCGTGCTGTGCTCGTTTCTTTTTACAGCAACATGTGGAAGAGGATTGGCATGGCAGCACTTGTGAGGGTGCCTCACGGGGGGAGGGTACAGCCGGCAAAAAAATGCGGAAGTCGCGTTACTTGCGTAAAAATATGGTAAGTGTATAGTCAGGATTTGATCCCGGGCATTTTTGACTCCGAAGTCCGTTCTCTTAACCGTGGAGATCTTGAGTTTGGCGGAGAGAAATAAATGAGGGAATAAAGAAGTTACCCAAGAAGTCACAGAAATTATGGTTAGTTACGCTTTTTGGGGAAATATAAGCAGTGTTTCAAGAAGTAGGGGACGTAGGGGCGAAGATTCTGAAAAGCTCTTTGAATTCGGTGAGGATTTGATTTCAGTGCAGCTTCAGAAGCGATTTAAAACCCAGATGGTGAGACGTTAGGAAGATAACGGGTCTGCGTGAGAGAGGAGGTTGGTTGACACCACGTGTGTCGTAAGTGTCCCCCCATCTCCTTGCGGCTGTTTCATTGATAAGATGGTTGGGGAAATTAGTTAATGAATTTGTTCCCAGTAAACCTAAGAAAATTTCCCTTCAGACGGAGTCGATAGCATCTTTCGGAATATAATCTTTGAAGACTTACTTGAAGCAGGTTGAGAGTTGTGAGACATTGTTGAACAGGTTTGCTTTCAGTGAACAGAAAACCTAACACACGGTCTCAGCTTCTCATATCAAGCCTTTCCATTTTTAGGACTGCTTTTGTTGACTGATGTAGCCAGTCAAGAGAAAATAATGTTGATTAGGGGGTTAAGTTTCCTTTTAAAATTGGGGTGCACCTTGTGAGGAATTAGAAACCCATGAATAAATGTCAAGTTGAAAGGGATAAATGATTAAAAGGTAGGCAAAATATACAGTTAATTCACTTGCAGGGTAAAATTTTTCCAGATAACTGTTCCAGTCAGGTCTTAGTACAGCCTTCCTTCCCTTGACTCTCCGAAACACAGAAAAGTTATATGTTTTGTCTTTAAATGTGACTTTCCTAAAACTGTATTTTTATAAACATTTGATAGCCTGTAAGTTGAGAGACTTTTCTGTAAACAGTACTGTCAGATGTAAAAAATTTAAGTTATTTAATGAATACATTCACTTCGGAAAGTCTTTGGACCACACAGTTATAAATGCTTTCAAGGAGTCCTCAAAAAATTATATTGTAGTCGTAATTCTGAGAGACACAATAGAAAGTTTTAACAGACTAGTTTCACACTGAAGAGACTGCCATTGAAATCTAAAATGGAAAATAGTTTTGTACACAACTGTGTTTTATCTAATGGTGTTGAGTCTGAGCAGAACTGTTCAAGTACAAAATGGTTCTTAAACAGTTACTGTGCATATCCCAATTTACAGAAAAATTCCAATTAAGTTCTAAAAGTAAGAAAAGGTCAAAGTAAAGGAAGTAGGGTTTCCATAAATAGTCTTTGAACATCATCTGGCTCTTGGAGAATTCAATTGCTCTGCTAAATATTTGTCTTTCTCTTTATTAGATTTAAGACTCAAAGGTTAAAAACATAAGAGCTGGTCGTATAAAGGAAACATTAACATCTTTGAAGCTTGCAGTCGTTAGGATTTTTAGAAGTAAATGTGTCTATGTAAAACAATTATCAAAAAATATGAACTCTCCTAATGCGCTTTCAACCGTAAAAACCTGAACTCTGATATTGTTAGTATTTCTTGACATGTGGATATCAGCAGACAAGAGACTTCTTCCTGTGGCTTGCTTCTTCTGGCCCTCAGAGTTGGCTCAAGTACATTCCCCACTCTTTTTCTTGGAAAGCCATCTGTTGCACTGCTCCTCTTAGTTTTTCTAGATGAATTGTGATGCCTGCCATCTGTTAGAGGACAAAGGAAATCAGACGTCTCTGATTCTAGAAAAAATAATTTTACAATAAAATTCTGTGACCGAGTATGGTGACGTGCCGTCCTGAGGGTGCTGTACCAACCTGTAGCACTTCAATATTCTCCTGTCTCGTGTAAATGTCAGGCGTGTTTTTTGAAGTGTGATACCATGACACTCTTATTTTGAAAAAACGTCTTTATTTTAGTGGATAAAGAAAATAAAAAATAAAGTGTTTGTTACAAGCACTTCACTACAACTGTTCACAATATTCCTTTCTAGGTGCTCACTTAAAGTAAGCACAGATGGTCGTATTTTCAGGTAACCAGATTTTAAATGCGGAGAAGTCTGGTGATCCAGCTTTAAGTGTCTAGTGCTCTGTTTTAGGTGCTGGAGTACTAGAGTTAATTGTCTAGACACTTGTGTGCTCAATGCAGCACTGACGGGGAACACCATCGCTGCTGAATCTCACACTAGGTCTTGGCTCTCCTGGGTGAGTGCCTCTTAACCAGGACAGGGGCTGGGGGGAGCCGGCCCCAAAGTTAGGAAGTAGAGAAGATGGGCACATCACTGTTGGCTTCAGTGCACGTCCATTGGTCTTTTTTCCAGTCCTTATTTTTACATTATTCTAATCATATTGTACCTCCAGTTTGGTATCCTTTTTTCCCCCATTTAGCATTACATTAGGAGTACTTTCACATGTTGCTAAGGTACTAATGTATTTTAATGGCTGTGTCAGAGTGCGTGTACATCATTTACTCAACCATTTCCCTGTTGTTCAACATCTAAATTATTTCGTATTTTTGCTATCATGAATACTACTGTAACAACTTTGTGAAATAGCTTAATTTCCTATCTTTGAATTTTTTCTTAGAGTAAATTCTTGTTAACCATAGTCTTTGTTTTTTGTTAGTTACCTTTAAATTATTTAAATGTAGCCATTACAAAAAAAGGACCCACACCACAGTATTGTGTAACCCCTTGCCTCAGTAAAATGTTCTTGGCTACAATTTTGCAAAAATGAATAAATTAGTCTGTTTGAATTAGGCAAGTTTCCAGAGTGCACTAACTTTGTAAACCCTGTTTCCCTTTTATGTACCCTGTCTTTGCTGAAGTTACTGTTTTGTATGATTGGCTGCATTTAAAAACTGGGATTAACTCATAACATTCTTTGCTTATTTATTGGCGTGTTGTGTTTGTGCAGGAAATAAGTTTTTTATTCATTTGTATGGTTTAGGCCTGATATACCAAAGATGCTCAGTGGGACATATGTATTTGATGTTTGCAGGACCCT